ACACAAAAGTGCCGCGGCACAGTGGTTGAGAATCACTGTATTAAGATCTAAATAATAAAAATAATATAAATTGAAAGCTATTCCAGCGCCTTGTATGATGTTTTTGCAATATTATGGTTTTCTGTGGGGTTATTATATAAACAACCATTATACACATATTAGCATATAAACAACCATTGTGTTAAATCATTATAAATATTTATTTTTCTTACAATCCGAAACACACCTAGAAACTTTTTAATTTATAATGTTAAAAGCATTTCGCCCGCGACGTCATCCTCGAAAATTCTGATAGCTCGGCTAATTTGCATCATATAAATATAACTTATACTAAAACCCTCTCCGGAAAATCCTGCGGTATGAGTAATATACTCATTGAGTATTATTCCGATGGGTTCAGTAGTTTTCGCAATATAACCGAACAAAACCGGCACTCCATTTAAGTATAGATTACGACACACTAAACTGATTAGATGGCTGATTCATCATTTGTGATCGAAGGATTGAACATCATACTGGTATTCCTTAATTAAAGATTTTTCGTTTAACGTTCATTGATAACGTATACCGTAATAATTTCTTTTATTTACGCGATTATAACATGTACCGGACCGTGAATGCTATGAGGCCTTCGAGTTTTCCGGAGTCATTAACCGGATTTTATCGCAGTTTAGTTTAAAAATAAAAATAATTCGCGATAAAGTCTGTAAGGTAGTTTTATTAAATTGTCTTAGATGCAAATATCGTTAAGGTATTGTTGTCACTTTGATACTTGATAAGCTTAGTGGCAAAAGTGCAACACTAGTATGGGAATCCTATCTGAACTATAAAATTTGTAGAAAAAAGTACGAAAAGTTTTCCCCCGCTATGGGAATCGAACCCACATCTTCGGTATTCGCGCCCTGACGCTTTAGCCACTAAGCTAAACGACTGATTGCCACACCGACGAAATTTTAAACGTCCTTTATCTACATTGTTTTTTAGCATTTGAAGTAATGCTTGGCGCATCCATTTTTCTATCCTTTTCAGCATACAAACAATTTCGAGTATCGATTTACAATGAACTGCCAGGGATTCAAAACTTGGAAAATAACATGTAATTTAAAGTTTACGTTTGTTCATGTGAAACATGGGCCAACGTTCAGGTGATTCACCTGATCTTTAATGATTGCCGCCGCCAATGAAATATCCATTAATATAACACCTGATGAGTGGCAGATGCCTTGCCAGTGGCCTCCAGTTACTGCAATCACCAAACAGTACGTAGAAGAATGGTGCTTCCACCTCACGCTTTTCACGGATTTCCCCGGACCCTGCCAACTAGATCAACAGCACAAGCTGTTAAGTACCACCGTACCTGAACGAAATGATTGAGCTTCAATCTCTACATCCACGCAGTATTCTACAGCAGTCTGAACTACGTATGCCGACTTGGAACGGGGGAGGAGCACAGGATGCCGTTGCACGATAGTTTTTCATTCTTTCATTTCTTAGAATTTTGTAATCTGACGGGTGCGTGTGTGCGTTTTATACGACTTACCGTCGTATAAAACGCACCTCCTTATGACTCGGTGGTGCATTTGTTAAGTTATTTGCTTCGGTGTCAGGGATCGTGGGGTCGATCACATATTTGTGTGACCTGCAGATCATGTCTTCCCACTCACTGTTTAAGACATAATGTTGCTAAGCGATAAGATAAAGATGAATATTTGTGTTGTGTTCTCATGTTGAATGATAAAAAGCCCGTTTAGATTTTACTCTATAAGTAGAATCGAAGGACTTTTTGTGTACGCACGAGTGTTACGTTCCACATATTTCCAGATTATCATGAACCAACTGAAGGTGCACGGACGATTGCGGTACAGGTCATAATGTAGTGGTCACCTGACAACAGCAGCTTAACGGCGATACGAATCTGGCCGCTCTTGGCTGTATCCCAAAGCGATCCCCGCGCGTTCACGTTATGGAGAACATAAAACGTTAATAAAATTAGACTGGGGAATGCCCGATACTGTTTTGTGCATCGATCATAAACCGATCGGTCGCAAAGCAATAAATCAAAAATAGAACAGTAGGACAAGGAAACAAGAAAGACAAGCAAACAAGAAAGACAAGGCTACGTGACTGAAAAAATGAAGTAATAATGAAACACTTATAGATATTATTATTAAGTTAATAATTGAAAGGTGACAACAACGAAACTCTAATGATATCATCAAAATTAAATAATCATTACTACTTTTTATTATAAGTAAATTATGCCCAAATTTGAGTGACATAAAAGTAATGCTTGTTTAAACTAACTACAATAAAGAATAAAAAAAAATCATAATAGATCCAACTTCCACTGTGGCGTAGCATTTGATTTCGTGGGTATGTGGAGGAGGCCTATGTCCCGCAGTGGAATCGAACAGGCTGAAATAATGATGATGAAGTAAAAAATAACAAGGGTTATAAATAGTATCTTATGAACACCAGGAATTATGCCACACCAACTAGACGAAATCTAATTAATGCTAACTAGATGCTGGCGCCCACGAAGGTAACTAGTAGAAGTAGTAAGGAACTAGAAGAAGATATTTTGAGTCTTACGAAAGGAAAAACGTATGCTCCCTATAAAAGAAAGAATAAACTATGTAGGAACGAGTAGAAGAAGATGATACGGGATACAAACAAACATCAAAGACCACCGCACTTTATTTGATGGGGGGATTTTCTTATTAATAATGGCAACTGAGGGGAGAATAAGAGGTGAACCCATCAACTCTTTGATAGTAAGACAATTGATCTGGATGTCCAAAGAGTTGAGATAAATATAATAACAATTAATATCATCCAATTCAAGTGTCTCCTCAACTCAAAGCGTAGATTTCAGCCGATACCGATAGTTCGAAGTAAGTTTCCGCTATCTGTATTTAGCATCCGCCACGGGAGCATATAGTATTATAGATTGGCAGATTTTGCATAGCATCATTGAAACGTTTATAGTTATTTTTTTTCTTATTATTTCACAAATATCCATCGCATCTAAAACGTGGTGAATCAATCCATTTTTAGGTGCGGTGATTAGCACTATAAAATTAAACACTAAATAGCAAATGACAACTAAATTGCAGCGGGTTTAAACAGAGGGTGTAAAGTAATTTGATTTTAAAACTCCGGCTTGGCCACTGACAAACCACGGCTACATAAATCCACATTAAAATAAATGGTTGTTAAGGAAACTGAACCTTATTCCATTAACTTGAACGATATTACTCTACCGACTATAATGCCAAATAACCATTTTCCTTCACTTACCTGACATAATGAAATATGATAAAAAAAGTAATCATTGAATAGTATTAAAATTGCGGTTCGATGTGAACATGGTTTTAAGCCGAAATTGAAACTTATTAAGTACTATTCTTTTCCAAGTCGCACTGTACTTGTTTGCTGAAAAAAGACGTAACAATTTTTTGACCGGTGTTCCGACTTTTCTCAACTTTCGTTTGCAAATCTGCGGTGGGTGGTATCAATATTGGATTCTATAACCGCAGACCTTAACGTAAATTGTCGTGGGACTTCACGGCCAGGTGCAAATTATCTAAACCACGAATATAAGGAGCTGCAAATTGTGACCATTTTCTTGTTGGCTTAAGGACATTCAGCGAAAATCTTCAAAAATTATTGAGCTATAATTTTCACGACGTAAACTAATCATTAATAGCGTCACAAAGTTTTGTAACGCAAACCGTAATGAAAAATAAAATAACCATCCCGCCTGTTAAAAAGTAGCACATGTCTATCGGTGAGTTCCTTTTTCGAATTCCGTGAGTGCTTTTTTATTATTTTCTTTTATTTTAAATTATCACTATCAGAAAATTTCGTTACCTATGCCTCACGTAAATGAACCAACAGGCTGTGGCTGAAGCTTGCCGACAAACTAAGCCGAATTTTAGGTAGGACAATTATAGAAACAAATGAAATGTTAATATGTTGTGTCTACGTTAATTCCGTTGGCCCAAAAAACGTAATTATTATAGACAACTGCAAATATAAACGCCGATCGCCATGTTGATACTCTGCTCTAACGAACCAAACGAGACGTAGAACAGTTTTCTGTTACTACTCAGGGCCACGCGACGCGATGCTTAGCCGATTCTAAACTCTGCTCCATTGCAACAGGAGCGAAATTGGAAAGACGCGGTCGGTAACGCAATTTAAATACAATTACCAGCAAGAAAAGTTGAAAGAACAGTGTGACGTCTGTTTTTGTATTGGTCTGTGCCGCCACTAACGGTTGAAACAAAACTAACAGCTCTGTGTTGCTTGCATTATCACAAGAAATATTTGGCTTTTTATATTCTTAAATTATAAAATGAAGTATTTGGTTTAAATTTATAGTGCTGGCACTTTTTAGTTGTCAATTGGCGGATGGAATTACTTTATTAGTGTAAGTGTAATAAATACTAGTATTAGTTGTATTATAATTAAGACATTATTAGTTGATTCAACACATCAAAAATTACATCTTAATGTATCGCCTTGATTGGTTTTAGGTATATCAAATCTATCGTTTTACGAAGGCCACTAACTGTATAGGTCTGCAATGCTTTACATCAGGTGTTTATTCATTTATGACGATTAGTCAACCTTTAAACATGAATGATGAAAAGTGTTACAAATGTCGAACGAGATGTTAAAAAAAATCGAACGGTTTAGATACGGTTTAATTTGTATAGCAATGAAAAAACTATAAATGTCTTAAATACTATAATAATTTAACCATGGACGACGGAAATCTCTCTCTCTAATGATCACTCAATATCCCATAGACTGCCATTTCGCTTACCACCATTTCTATAAAAATGTATAATGTTTGTTGCGACGCTTTCAATCTGCTATGACGTAAAGGAACAAAAGGCATTGTGAGAAACGTAGCTGAAATCTCCTCATTTATCCAGTTCATCATTTGCCTAGTTTCGATGCCGCTAGTGTAGACTGATGTAATTACTCACCACATCTGTGATTGTATGCTCGTCTCCGGGCCCCGACGGTAGCTCCACCATTGTTTCGAGCCACCCGCCACCTGTGAAACAAACATGTGCGAACAACTATTATAACTGACAAGGTAAAGATCAGACCAATTCAAGTGTGGCAGAGAATAGCTGCAGGTTCTGTTGTAACACCAATAGGTTTCGTCCTTAAACGACCTTGGCATTAAAAGACCGGCGTGAAGCAGAAGTAATAATCTTTTGCGACTCCACTGGAAATTAAGGTAACCGGGCCCCACTTTTAAGAGTTAGCAGTATTGTAGATAAACGGGGGTATTTGTTTAACATCAGGATAAATTTGAGGATATTTGCTTGCTTGGCAACTTACCGTCAAAAAGAAAAATAAAGTGGAGTAAATCTTCTTTTTGACTCTTTAAAACGTAGCACTTGGCTTGAAAGCACTAGACAACCTATATCTGTTTTTCTTTCTGGGCTTGAAGCAATAGTCTTTGCCTATATTTTATATTATGTAGAGGCTAAAAGGAGGCTAAATGTTTCAATTTTGCAGACTTGAAAGGATCGAAAACATGAAAGTTCGGCTAAAAACTGCTTTTAACTGATGAAAGTTTGATAAAATACGGTTTTCCGAATCTTCAGTATTCGTTTTAAAGAAATATTTTATTTCTTTAACGCAATTGCGATCCCGATGTAATTCAAACGAAACATCGGCAATATGCCAAGGCTAGTTTAAATCCGTAGCCTTAATGTAGAGTATATCTTGATATTCTATTCATGCTCTCATGTGCAAATACCTGATTTGCTTTTGAATCTGCATTACTTGATTGGGATTTCCTAACCCTATGGAACGAAATCAATTGTGAGAAAAAGGAACTGCTCTGGGCTAACTGTTCAACAGATTCTATAGGCGTTTAGTTATTTTTTTTTACTATTAAGAACATCTTGAAGAGACCCATAGAGCCGTATATGGTACCTGTACAATTGCAATTGTACAAAGGAAGTCACTAAAATGTCTTGTTCTTATTTCTCATATACTTTTGTTTACTTTTTTTTGAGTTATGTTTAATTTTTAAATAATTAATTTAAAAATGTTTAATACTGAAATAGAAGTGATTTCAAATTTTAAGTGTACAGTTAAAATTTTATTATAAGCTTCGCTGCATCCAAAGCAAATACAAGACATCTGTAAACGGTCTTAATTAATTCGATTACTTCCAATTGGAATATGGCCAACTAATTGCTTTACTACAAGTTTAGTGTTTATAATAAAATAAAAAGTGTAATGAATATACTCTATCGTTGTTTTTTATCGAATAAGTAATTTCCTAAAGACGACTTTAGTGCTCCATCCCATAAAAGGGATGTTACCTTTAATTTAGCAAAGAGCCGCAAATGTCCAGTGCTATAAAACTTCGAATTAAACATGACGTAAAATGTAGACTTGGTCTTTTTTGAGAGGTATTTTTATATAAGCCTAAATATAGATAAAATTATAGGACAGTTTCTTTTTTTTTTATGTGAAAAGTTGCCAAACGAGCAGACGGTTCACCTGATTTTAAGTGAATACCGCCGCCCATGGACATCTGCTACACCCGAGGGTTTGCAGATGCGTTGACAACCTTTTTGGAAATTGGGCTCCGGCTACCTCACTCACCAGACGAAACGCAAACTGCGTGGCCCTACCACCGTACTTCATCAACTACTTGCACGTTGCAAATATTTTTATAAGGTAAAATTAAAAACAGTTTTAATCTAAGCACGCATAGGAGTGAAATAGGTTTGTCACATCGGAAAATCATTAGTAATCAGTTAGTAACTTCAAAATAAGGTGCATTATATTCTTCGCACAGAGGTCAACTTGAGTCGTTATAGCCCAGTATTCGGGTGCTAGCTTTTAAGTCAATACCCTCGACCATTCATTCATTCGTCATTTATTTCAGCCCGTCCACTGCTGGATATGGGCCTCCCCCACAGACAGCCACGAAGCACGATCCTGAGCCACCTGCATCCTCGACTTCCCGGAGTTAGTCCTACATTGAGATGGCCAGTACGAGGCTGCCACTTGAGAACCTTTCTTCCCAAACAGTTATCGGTTCTACGAGCTACATGGCCGGCCCATCGTCTTTTCATCGTCTGTTCTATTCCTCTTAGCTGTGTTGGTTATCTTTGTTCTGATATGGATGTCTTCGTTGCGAACTGACCAGAGCACCCTGAGTTTAATTCCCGGTGCTAACACCAATGAAATTTGTTGATTTTAAGTGCTCACTTATCATGTGCTCGGCGGTGAAAGCAATCATCGTGAGGAAACCTGCATATTTTCGGAATAATAACAAATAAAATCGAAGATATGTGAAATCTGCCAGTACGCAGTGAGTTCGCATGATGTAGTATGACATAACAGCCATATAGTGGGACATATATAGGATATATACATTCCATATAGTGGGACATATATGGGTAGTAACATCCCATGAACACATGAATAATTGTCTCAATTCATCCCAGTAAAATGTCAGTATGTATCGCTTCTTTTCTTTAGGAAAAGTTGATCTCGTCAACTTTGTTAGATATCTTTTTTTTTCTTATTAAAAACATTGCCATTACTTTAGGATGATATTATCCTGTGCTGTAATGACGTTTTACAAACATAAATTTTACGCAGACAAACACCCAGATGCGAAAGAACTATCTGTGGGTCACGAAAATAGTTGTCCCGTGTGGGAATCGAACCCACGACCCCTGACGCCGAAGCCGAATACTTTGGCAACTGCGCCACGGAGTCATCAAATATCTAATCGCGGTATCTAATATTCCTCGTCTGTTATTACAACGTTCGCAATTCATTATCAATTTCTAGGCACTCTGTAATTAAGTAATTAATTACACGAATGTCTGCGACGAGCCTTTCATTATAGATAACGTAATGAGTATAATGAGTTTATGATTAAGGCCTAAAGGAGATTCGAGATTTCAGATGAACTCAGATTTTTCTATATTTCGATCTACTTCTTCACGGATACGCAGTGAGTGGTGTCAGTATTTCTAAAAAATTCTATAGGCCTGTTTCTTAAAAGGGGGCAACGCACCTCCAACCCTACAGGTGCTGCAAATGTCAATCGGGCGGCGGATATCACTTAACATCAAGTGAACCGCTAGGTCGTTTGCCACCTTCTCACATAAAAAATAGATAGTTTGTCGTAGCCAAATGGCTGTGTTTTGCATGTGGCATTACCCATCCGTGCAATATATTAGTCAAGCGTCCACTTTCGAAGTCATACATATGGAATTTATCGTCTAATTAAATCACATAGTTGTATTATCACAGGTTCATTGCATTTACTATGGCTAATCTACGTTTTCACTTGTTTTCTTTATGCGATCGTTTTCACTTGTTATATTGATATTAGGTGATATTACAGATATACAGATTACCGTAATGAGGGTCTGTCAACCCTGGTCATCAAATAATATATAGAAGTTTAGATACTTTTACGCAAACTTGGAATGAGTTCACGCAGCAGAGGTAGAGGCTGCTATTTGGCTACCTAAGTAACTGTTATGCTAAATTATATTCGTTTGTTTGTATATTCTTTATTGTATTAAAAGTTTGTACAAAGGCGAACTTAATGCTTAATAGCATTTTCTTCTAGTTAGTCTTTGGTGGTTGTATAGAAAATTAATTCGATAAAAAGAAAAACATTGTGACCATGTTAAACTATTTCACAATGTCTCAGGCTTTATTTAAGAATAGCAAGTTAGCCACGACCTAAGCAACGTAGGCTAAGAAACCTTATTTCGTATCTATAAAATAAAAAGTATTTAACATAGCTTAAATAGTACGATAATACTGGTTGAAGGTAAAAAACACAACTGCGTGGGTGGAGACATCACTCATCGTGAACGAGCCTTTGATAAGCGGCCTGAGCTCCAGTCGATGATAGTGATGTCCCTATCTGCTGGTGAACGCGTGAAAAACCCGACATCGATAAGCTGAAATGTCAACATTACGCGAATGTCGAGAGGCCATTTTTGTCACGTTTGTACTCTGCTCGAGTTTTGTCGATCACACGCAATGTTTAAGTTTGCCAATTCCGGAAGTTGAAATTTTCCCTTGCCGTTCTACTATCACGGGTTCTAGTATGAGTGAAATTTAAAAAAAAGTTATAAAATTGTGAAACATTATTCGTCTCTCTCGTGTAATCGACGCATTCTCATAGTACTTTGAAATTGCAGATGCTTTCACCACCAAGTTCATGAATGTTAAAGAGTATTTATGTCATTTTATATTACAATTCTATCTTTGTAATTTGATATATTAATATGGGTCACTATCTTTCAAATCTATTGAATAATTTGTAAAAAATAAAAACCTATATACTCCTTTATAAGGCCTCCTCTGTACAGATGGTATTAGAACATAGTCCAACAGGTGACACGCTGTCGTACAGATTGCTAAAGCTATATACCGAAGCAATAAGAATGAAAATAACTTGGAAGGCCCGTCGAAATATTCATCGCGGTGTATTCTTTAGCATCGTGATGAGAGATTATTCATTTGTCGAGATGTACGGAATCCATGGTTATTGAACCATTAGTGCCAACCAATTAGCCTTTAGATTTATTTTTTCATTGTATTTCCATAAACAAATTGCTTGACCACGCATATGATTTATTACTACGAGTATTTCTAAGAGAATGATAGAATCGTGATAAGAGATTTTCCATTTGCTATCGACTTGTAACGAATTCGTCATGTATATTTTCAAAACTTGTTTAACTATTCCTATTCTATTTGTCTACAAAAATTAATTCGGTGAAGTATATTGAAAGACGAATCGATCATCAATTATCGTCAAAACACCAGTGGATGGATACCCGCCGAGTCACTTGAGTTTATATTGCTTTCCTAGATGCCTCAATACGATTGAAACAACTGCGTATAATTAATCTCTAGAACTTTCTTAAAAGAAATGTGTTTATTTTTAATAATCCAGTCTAATAATGGCTATTGAAAGTAGAACCCAACAAATACAATGGGTTTCGTCTGTAATCGGGGCCCCAAAGGAGTCAAAGGAGA